TCACAGCCCCATGATGCCAGCTCTGAGCGTGAAGGAACCTGGGTCTCCGGAGGTCTGCTAACTTGTTCTTCTTTTCATAGAGAGCACAGACTTCCTTATTTTAGCCTCTGTTGTCTGGGTTTTCTGTTCCATACATCCCACACCTGAGGCATGTCGTCTTCATCCTTATTTTATAGATGCAGAAACTGGGGCTCAGGTGAACTTAGTGCCTTGTGCATGGGGGAAGATTTTTGGGGTGCTCACAGTTTCAGATTCTATGAATTCGGATCACATATCCTTTCTGTGTCAACGTGTTGGTCTTTCTTTTCCCACAGAGATGCTAATGGTCTTTCCTTTTTCTGGCAAGATTTTGCATCTTTTGGGTCTTCTTATCTCACAATGCCCCCTCCTAGTAGCCTATAATAGGAGGAGAGAAGCACTTCTTCCCATTGAGTTTTCCTTGTTTACATTTAGGGTTTTTTTGAGTTGAGGTCTCATTCTGTCGCCCAGGCTGGAGTGTGGTGCCGTGATCTTGGCTCACTGCAGCCTCGACTTCCCGGGCTCAGGCAGTCCTTCTGCCTCAGCCTCCTGCGTAACTGGGACTACAGGTGTGTGGGCTAATTTTTCTTCTGATTTTTTGTAGAGAAAAGGTCTCACTATGTGTCCCAGACTGGCCTTGAACTCCTGGTCTCAAACAATTCTGCCTCAGTCTCCCAAAGTGTTGCAATTACAGGCGTGAGCCACTGTGTCCGGCCTCCATTTAACTGTCACTAGAGTGAACATAATTCAGGGTCTCAGTCCGCATCTAAAAAAGTGATTCACTTTCATCTCAAGCAAAATATTCATACTTCTGATTCCTCAGCAATTCCCCCTTTGCAGAGGAAGAGTTAAGACTACATCATTTAATTAAAAAGAGACTCAAAATAAGTGCGATCCCATCTGATATGGGTTTCTGTCTGCTTGACCTTCAGGAGGAAAGCATGTACTGGGGTTCTTCCAGTGAGATCACAATCAGGAAAAACGCACCTATAAATTTATTCTTTTAGTTGTGTGTTAGGATAAACAGTGTTTATAGCTCTTGGGACATTCTGTCTACGGCCTTGGGAAGCACTGTGGCCATGAACCGTTCTTTGTTTTATGAGCGCTACAAATACCATAGCTGCTACTTCGACTGCTAAGGGCGCCAGTGTAACACAGGTGTTGTGCCTGCAGTTCTGATGCCACTGCAGTTTTGCCTGGCTTTTGCAAAAGCACCTACGCTTGGTTAACTCTCACAAGTCAACATCTCTAGATCAAGTTTTAATTTCTTTCGGTCCTGGGTGGTGCTGGGGTGTGGGTAGGGTCCCACATCACAGATAATCAGTGTATCGTAGGCCAACCCACCTATCCCTTTCTTTATAGGAGAAAAGAAAATTTCCCATAGGATTGGCTTGAATGGAGATTGAAGTTCCCACTTAGACCTTGACTTCCAACCTGGTTTGACCATACACTTTGCATTGGGGTGTGGGGCACATTTGTGATTATCTTATTTGTCATTATACAGGCCCTTGGGAAGTCCATGGTGGACAGAACTCTGGGTCCTTGACTAAAGTGCCATTTTATTTGTTTGTTTATTTATTTATTTCAGTTGGAGTCTCACCCTGCCCCTCAGGCTGAAGTGCAGTGGCATGATCATGACGATCACAGCTTACAGATCCTGCTGGACTCAGGCATTCCTTCCACTTCAGCATCTTAAGTAGCTGGGATTACAGTTGTGTGCCACTACACCCAGCTAATTTTTTATTTTTTGTAGAGACAAGGTTTTGCTGTGTTGCCCAGGCTGGTCTTGAACTCCTGGGCTCAAGCAGTCCTCCTGCCTCAGTCTCCCAAAATGCTATGATTACAGGTGTGAGCCACTGAGCCTGGTTAAAAAGCCATTTAATATCATCCAAATCTCACTGTAATCCTTAGCCCTCTGCTTATGGTAAACTATTATTTTTTTACTTTATTTTTTTTGAGTTGGAGTCTCACTCTGTCGCCCAGACTGGAGAGCAGTGGCCGCTCCCGGCCACCGCAGCCTCGACCTGCTGGGCTCCAGTGATCTTTCCGCCTCAGCCTTCCATGTAGCTGAAACTACAGGCGTGCGCTACCACACCCGGCTAATTTTTTGATTTACTGGAGAGATGAGGTCTCGCCAAGTTGCCCAGGTGGGTCTCGAACCCGTGGGCTCAGGCAATCCACTCACCTCAGCTTCCCAAGGGGCGGGATTACAGGCTGAGCCACTGAACCCGGCTGCAATTAAACATTGCTGGCATAATTAAGGTATCATTAAGTTCTATTTTGCAAAATTTGGTGTTATCCAAATTCATATTTTGAAGTCTTAACCCCTAGTATCTCAGAATGGGACTGTACTTGGAGACAGAGACTTAAAAGAAGTAAAGTGAAGTCATGGGTGGGACCTAATCTTGTATGACTGGGTGTCCTTAGAAGAAGCGGAAACCTGGAGACAGAAACATAGCAAAAAGATGATGTGAAGAGACATGGGAGAAGATGGTCATCTGTGCCAAGTGGAGAGACCAGAAACAAAGTTTTCCTCACTGCCCTCAGAAGGAGCCAACCCTGCTGACAACTTGATCTTGAACTTCCAACTCCAAGACTGTGAGACATACATTTCTGTTGTTTAAGCCACCTAATCTGTGGTATTTTTTTTACAGCAGTCCTCACAAACTAATATACTTGGAAGTCGGGTTAGTAATACCTATTCTACACAGATAGAAGTGAGACTACCACACAGTCCAGTATTTGAAATAGTCACTGTAGCTTCTCCACTGTTCAAAGACCCACGGCAATGACATTTGCCTGACTGCAAGGAGCTCATAAATGTTTGTCAGTGAACTGTGCTGCTCACATGTGTAGAGGACTTCCAGTTTCATTCCTTCTTTTTAAAAATAAGGCAGTTTGGGTAGAGTTTTCATGACTTGAGTAGGGGTCACATGGTAAAGTGGTAAAGTGGAAGTACATTTGAAGTAGGTCAGTGGTAAAGTGGAAGTACATTTGAAGCTTCCTAGTTTCTAGTCTTAGTGGTCTGCCAGTGGGGAATTCTCTGATTTTCAATAAGTTACTAAGAACATGATAGAGGATTTTTTTCAGTACTGAAATAGCATAGTGTCTGGCACGTAGTAGATGCTGAAATTGTAACTATTACTATTAATGTCCAACTCTGAAAAGGGATTGCTTTTCTTAAATTAGCTATCAGAGGGGGAGGGTCTACCCTTTGAAACTGATATGTTATTGGTGCTTAAAATATTTTTAATATTAGGTCTGAGCATGCTGCCTTAAGCAATCCTGTTTATAACGTTAATAAATCACCTCTGAAAAATATAGGTCTTCACCATCTAGTAGCTAACAAACACAAAAGCATTTCTAGAACAAATCAAAAGCATGCACAGTGTTTTATGAAAAAAGTTGATGAAACAAGGAAAATGGAAGCCTAGTATCTCTGAGTTACTGAATAAATATCTTAATCATTGGGCAGTAAAGTTCTTTTTTGAGTTGGAGTCTCACTCTGTCACCCAGACTGGAGTGCAGTGGCCGCTCCC